TGGTATAATTGATTATAAAAATTAGTAACACTTAATTAAATAAAAGAAAGAAACTAAAGTATAAAACAAATTTAATTAAATATTATTAATATATTTTAATTTTGTGATATAATTGATTATAAAAATTAGTAATTAATTTATTTATTAATATTGTTGTATATTTTAATTAATCAACCATACGATTATCACTCGACTGATGATTCCGACAAAAATTTTACGTAACAGAGAAAAAAGTTTAAATAAATCATAAGTTAAAGTTTAAAGTTTTAATAAATTTAAGTAAATATTTTTTATTCATATTTACACACATACGTTTAATTTATTAATTATTAATACATCATACCTGTTCTTGAAACAATTTCCTGAATGTTTCTCTCGTGTGACGATTATCACCTTTCAACAATTCGGAACATTCCTTTAATATTTCTGTCCTTCGTTTTTCTAGAAGAAAACATTCTTCTTCCATAGAACTCGTATTCTCTTCCATGATCATTTTTATTTATTTATTTCTTTTCTTTTTACTTTTATTTTAATTTTTTTTTATATCAAACTAACACTCAATGGTATTTTAAAATAATATAAAAACAAAGTATCACAGTTTAAAGAATAATTACACGACACGTTTTATTTTTCTTCTTCTTTACACAAATAGTTGAATGAAAACCAAAACAACAAAACAAAAACAAACAAAAGAATTAATTTCACTTCTTTCTTCTTCTTCTTCTACACAGATGGGGGATGAGGGTGAGGGTGACAGGGGTAAATAGAAAAAAAAAGTATGAAAATTTCAGTGTTGAGAAAGACACACAAAAACAAAGAAGAAATAAATTAACTATAGTTAAATACAAATTTTTGTTAACAAAAATAGAATAATAATAATAATAATAATAATAAGAAGAAGAAGAACAGGTGAATTATTTTTAAAAATTTCTTTTTCGAAACTTAACACACAAACACACACAGATATAATTCCACGTTTAATGTGTACACACGTAATTAGATTAAATAAGTAAATAAATAAGTATATGAGTAAGTAAATATAAATGAGAGAAACGTTTCTCGTTTATTCGTGGCCGACTGGAAACACGTAAACTCGTTAAATGAAAGTCGACGTGTTGTGTAGAAGTTCGAGAATCGAATCCATAAGCCTATGTGTGTGTATATATGTGTAATCGAAAGAGTATATACATGAAAGAGAATGAATAAGAAGAAGAAGAAAAAAAAAAAGATATATATGTATATAATATATACTCATTCAGATTATAAGTTTGAAATGAAGGAGACAGAGGTACCACCTTTCACTTTTCGATCATATTCACGTATCTTTCTTTCTTTTTTTCTTTTTAAATAATCATTAAACAAATAATTTAATTTAAATAATTA